CGGGGCCAGCCGGCGTCGTGGCTCAGTGCTTCGTGTGCTGTCGATGGCATTTGTGACTTGTGACTCACAAGTCACAATGCTTTAAGGAAAGCATTTCTGCTCCTTTTCACCAAGAATGTTCAAGGCTGTCCACTCCCTGTTTAGCAGGAAAGACCAGTGTGCAGCTTGGTGTACTGCTGCATGTGTACGAGGAGGGTGCTTCGGAGTTCAGTTCTGTCACCTGAACTGCGTCAGTGGCATAGTCACACTGCACCTGTGCTTCCTCTGTTCTCCTGAAGTAGGGCCGTGGTCCTGAGGTTTGCAGAGTGTCAAGTGTTAACTCGGCTGGATGGCCTTGTTCCTTGCTTGATAATAATTGTGCATCCCAGCCCAGAGAGAAATCTCCTGCCTTAAGTATTGAGGCTTTGACAGTGTGCAGCTAGAAAGTGTTTGTCTTTATTTGGGAAACGTTAAATCCAGAGTAATCTCTCGAGAATCAGAAAACTAAGTCATTACGATAAGGATGTTGAAAATAATTTAAAAAATGCTTTTGGCTTTCTTAAGACCCTTTGATAGGCCAGTGAGTTTATGAGCCTTGGTAAACAGTGAGACTGGAGATATTTTGTACGTTTTATGTGATGTTCTGTGCTTTTCTTTTAAGTTTATTTAAGTGGATGTAAAAAAAGAATTGAGGAAGGCTAAGCTTTTCCTCTCTCTTTTTTTAGCAAATGAAAATATATGTTCTATCCTTTAAAAGAGTGTGAAACTGTAGTTACCATTTACCCTTTTTGAAATTAAAAATGTATGCATTTTGTTATAAAAATTCTAAGCCATTCCACAGTGTAGTGAAAATCCTCTATTTTTCTACTGTTAACACTGCATTTACATAAATGCACAGAGCTATTCTTTTTTTCCCCTAAGCTTAAATGATATAAACTGGGTGGCATCCCGCTTCTTGCACCTGTCATTGTAATCTAGTTCACATGTCACTTTGTCAGTTCAAAGACTGGGTGATCTGGCTTTTGAAATCTATATTAGTGATATTTAGTTGATTTTTATGGTTATGATGGAAATTTTGTCATTCTAGTTATTTTTCAAGTATGTGTTATTTCAGGAGCAAGTGATCATTAATTTATGTAGTTACTGAGCTTAATTATCTGTAGTGGGTATTAGAGAGCTTCTCTCAAGGTTTTGTAGTTCTAATTGATGTGAAAAATTATACTTTTCTAACACAATTTTTAATTTAGTTAGAATGTTATAAGCGAATACTTAGTGTAGACAAAAATCAAACAAGTTTGACATATATTAGAAACCTTTATTAATCCCCAAAGAACGTGGAAGTCATAAGATTTTCCCATGGAAACATAGGTCTTTAGTGCCTTTGACTCTCGCTCTAACAACCTACATAAGCCCTCGGGTGAGCCTTGCTCCATAAATTCATTCTTGAAGTCACCAGGGGCTGTTTCAGCTTTGCTCTTCCTGGCCTTTTGCAACTATGTCCTCTGAGACAGAGCTCAACTTTATTTTGTAGGAAATCACACTGTACATTTCATTGTGTTCCGTTTCTCCATGTGGGCCTGGCTTAGGTCCATGATCACACTGCATGTGCCAGCCTTTGGCTGGAGAGGGCGGGTGAAATGCAGTGTCTGCATTATCCACTGGGAGCTGCTGATGAGGGCAGAGCAGCAGGCCGGGTGCGGCTGCATCTTGGGCTCTTGGCACCGCACTGTGGGAGAAGACCTGGACACTGATTTTCTTTCTTCTTTTAGATTTTGGAGGGAGACTGGAATGTTTGCAGGGTGTTAACAGTTATTCTCTTAAGCAGCCAGTCGTATTTAACAGTTGTCAGTTTATACACAGAAACTTTAGGAAAGGCTTTAATGTGAGGTATACAGTAAATGTCATTTTAAGCTTGGATGGTGAATTCCAAGCTTAGTTGATGCAATTAAAAATAACTTGGAGGAAGCAGAAAGAAGATAGGATAAGCACCTAGACAGTTGTGGAGTTGAGTGGAAATATTAAAAGATGTTTTAAAAACTATAGGTTGCAAATAGGAAATATGGATCTTTGTTAAAATAAGGTTTTACACTGAGGTAAGAGTGTGAAAAAGTGTTGTTACTGTTGACAGATTTCCTAATGATCCTTATGTCATGATCTGTTATAATTTCCAACCTGTTAGTTAACTTTCATCATGATATTTTCTGCCTTATGTTTTGAATACCTCTTCCAGTTTTGATCTCGTAGTAACATATGTGCCCACAAATCAGACCCTGTATACTCCTCGGCAACTGGGTACAAGTTGCAGTTACTGTCTCTTGATCTTTCTGCAATAAAAGCATAATGTTCTGTTTATGATAACATCTTTCTCATATCTTAAACATGTCACAAGCTCAGATTGTGACCTCACTACAGGATGAAGATTGGATTTAAATATTTCTAGGTTAGACATTAATAAGGAATAAATTGTACAATTTTATGTTAGTGATGTCATAAACATGATTTTTCCTTTACAATGAGACCAGTTATTTACCTGTACCCAGATTATAAAGTTTAGGTAGAAAATAATAAATGGGAAAAATAGAAAAATGCATACGTACATACAGTGTATTCCTTAAGAGTAGTGTATCTGGCCGGGCTTGGTGGCTCAGCCTGTAATCCCAGCACTTTGGGAGGCCGAGGTGAGTGGATTGCCTGAGCCTGTGGGTTCAAAACCCGCCTCGGCAACTTGACAAGACGTCATCTCTACAACAAATAAAAAATCAGCCGGACGTGGAAGCACATGCCTGTAGTTCCAGCTACTTGGAAGGCTGAGGTGGAAGGATCGCCAGAGCCCAGCAGTCAAGGCTGCGGTGGCCGGGAGTGGCCAC